TCATACAAAAAATTTTGCAAAATAATGCAACAATCAATCATATTTCAGACATTTCTGACTGTAAGTGGGAGAATCAAGCTGTCAAAAAGATTTACTGAACTTACATATTTGGATCCTTTTGTAATATTCTCAAACTTTCTCAATGCATTAAAACTCCTTACTAACTATAAAGATATGAACTCTTAGATGCATTATGATGTTTTGGAGATGTCACAGAACTCAAAAAGAACCATTCTGTTTTATGCTGAATTATTTCCTTAAGAATACTGGAGTTTTTCTAATGAAGTACCACACACACAAGATCTTTTGAAAACCATGAGACTCCAAATATGTTTTGAAATTGGGAAGTACTTTGAAACTTTGAAATATTTTCAAGCAAATCCCATTGTTTAAAGGCCAACATTTCCTACCTCCAAGGTGGTTGGTTCATTGGCCATATTTTCACCTATGAGGAAAGTGCTGAGAGGGAAGCTCCTTTAAATGCCTGCAACCTAAACCACTGCCACCAGCAGTCTGAAACACCAGAGTGAGTGTCCCATAAGACAACACCACCTGTGTGTGTCATCCTTCTGAACACTGTTGCATTTTAGCATAAAACCCCTCTCCAAAGCAGCCAGGTTCTGCTGGGCAAGCTGAGATGGTGGCAGAACCATCCTGTTTAGCACTACTGTCACAGAACAGAAATCTTAGCTGGTGGTAAAAAGTTGTTCTAAACAAAAAAAGCTATGGGTGATTTTTTTCTTGCTATTTTCTTTTTTTTTCCAAGTGATGTGAGATAAAAAACAATGTTTGAAATTGTGCTATGGGTGTATCTCCTTGTTCTGAATACACAGGGGCTGCAAGGGCTCAGAAGTGCCAAGAAACTATTGTTTAAACGAAACACTTTGAGGCTTGGAAAGACCTCTGGCATAACTAACTGTGCTGTACAAAATGTAGCAATTTAAAAAAAAAGTAATTTTGAAAGTCAAAAGAGGATCTTGCTTTAAAATCATGCTGACAACATCCCAGTGACATAAATATTGCAGCTCTGTCACTTCCATCCTCAGTTACCTATGAATAACTACTTTGTGCAAACAATTTAGCAAGACCCCTGCTATTTCACTTCATAAAGTATGTTATATTGAATACAACTCAGATCCACTATTTATGTACAATCAATATTCAACTGTAAAAGGTAAAGACTCCTGAACTGACACCAGACACAGTAAACATTCTACAATTATGTCAAGTAAATCTTACCACTCCCTGTGGTTTGATTTCAATACAAATTAATCACATGTATTTCAAACTCCTCTTTTGTAACTTCTGCTAGGCTTTCCCACTCTGACCCACTCCAATAACATCTCAGAGCTTTTCCTTCTATATAACACTTCCCATGACCCTTTTAAGCCAGAAATTATTATATAATTTAGATTTGTCAGTGAGCCAGAGAAACAGGCACAGTATCCCCCTTAGCCACAACAACACTTATGAACAGGCTGGACATCCAAAAAACCTCCATTTCCAGTTTGTTATGTTTCCAGAAATAAAAATATTATTTACTCTAGTTGAAACTTTTTCATTAAGGCAAGACATAACTGTTTTTCAAAGTTTCAGATGCACTTAAAGGTTATATGCTACATTGATTCTTCATAAAAAGGCAGGCACTTAAATGCCTAACAGTATTGCTACATCAGAGCACACAAGGCACAATAAATAACCTTGAAACTATGCAACTGGTTAATGCATAGAGAGCAAATATTTAATGGAAAATATATTCTTTCATATAGAAATTCTTCTGGGTTCCTTACTGGCGAAGAGTAATATGGTCTTATTGGAAATAGTGACTAAAAACCAGATACAGGTCTGCTTTCAAAGGGGGAAAAAGTGGCATAAAGACAAAATTTCCATCTGAAAGAAAAAAAATAAGCACAGACTTTTATCCTCAGATGTTTACTTCTGATTGATTCAATAGAATAACAACAATCTGGCTTCTTTTTTGTATTTGACAGCTGGGCATCATCCCATAAACACATGCCCCATACAGCATTCCCTTTAATAATTACAGGGGTAATAATAAATAGATGTGTTAAAAAGATTACTTGATCTTGCAAACTTGATGCAAGTCTGGGTATTTGTTAAAATTACTTAACTCACTGAGTTATAATTTCAGATTTTTAAAATTTCTATAAATCTGAGAGGTAAACTACAGAAATACAAAAGCAATCTGATTGATCAGTCATAAACTACGAAAAGTTTATAGAGAGAAAGAGAAATGACAATTTTAGCATGGAGAAGCCAGATTGTCACAGCTTACTAGGAAGAAGAAAGAAAGGATCTAGTGGTACTTGCAGAAACTGTTATAGTTGGCATTTTAAAAGTACTGAAGAGGAAATAGCTAAACAAAGGATTTGTACGAGAGAGGAAAACAAATAAGTAAACAAATAAAGAAATAAAAGTGGCTCTGCCAGTTTGTGCTTCTTATACCCAAAAATAAGACTCAAACCTGTCTGTCAACCCACCACTGCTTTACACACTTCTCTCTCTACAGCCCTTTCTACCCCTGTTTTAAGCCAGAAGAGTCCACAACTGCTATACCACACAGTTTACTTAAATAAGCAAGTGAGCCATAGAAGGAACTTCAAATTTTGCAGCACAAGCAAAAGTGAAAAACAGATGCTGAAGATGAACTGAAAATACCAAGGAACATCAGAAATGTGGAAGTGCAATTGAAATTTTAGAAAGAAAGAGAAGGAAATCTCCCTACAAACCACTCACTGATCTAATTATTTAAATTGTACTTTAGAGGCCAAAGGAAGTTTTTCAAGCAAACATACTCATTAATTGGCAAGTATTTTTAGCTGAAGAATAGTACAATGAACTTTTTATCATATTTGATAATAAGAGTTCCAAAAACAAGACAGTAAGTGTCCCATGATTACATGGTGAGGAAAGAGGCAGGATGAACTGAAACAATGGAAAAGATAAAGAGAATAATACTTCACTTGGATGTCTTTGGTATGCAAGGAGACAAAAGCACATATATATGTTTACACACAGAGGCATGCAAGAAGTGAGCAAATCTGGCTATGATGATACAGGATAAGCAGAGAAAACCAACTATTTTCTGAAGAACATTTGCAAAGTTAAACAAATATCCAGCTCATCTCTTAATCCAAAAATAATAATTTAAAAATAACCACTGACATCCATAATCTATTGTGAGTGTTTTCCAATTTGAAGCATAAATCAAAATAAAATCAAACCAAATACTAATCAGAAATGAGGCACATTAGATCTGCAATGTATGCAGGCTTCAGTGGCTTAGCATTTCCTAAGCCTGGATGACAGCATATTTGTTTACTCACAGTATTATGGAAGAGTCATCTACTGAAGGTCAAAGCTAGGCAGATGTGCAAGGATTCAGAATGAATAACCAAGAACCCAGCATTCCATGTCAATTTTTCTGCCACAGCAAAGGAAATTATTTCAGCAGAAGTCCTCTTTCACTTTTGTGCCAGGTAAGAAACAAATCCCTTTTGCATTACCCCCTTGCACTGCTGGCAGCTGACATCTGTAGTGCCCCACAGCAGTTGTTGTGAGAATGTAGGAACAAACCATAAAGAACTACCACATAATTTGGACTATATGCAAAAAGAACATTGATATATTAACAGTTAAGGAGGGATTTAGACAAGGGCTATATAAAAGATATATTTTTAGCCTGAATACTTTATGCATGCTTAAATATACTATGTAGAGTAAGGTTTGTTGCAATTACCAACATATACAAGGCTTTTGTAGTCAGAATTTTTTCCAACAGCTTAAAAACAAATAACCAACGTGACCCAAGCTGCTGTACTACTGAACTTGTGCAGAACTTATTAAAGCCTGTTGTGAAAAAATTATTAGCATGCAAGTAACCAGCTAAAGTCCAGGGATCATCACCAGGCAGCAATTAACCAGCCCCTTCAATGATGAGAAAGTCCAGGAGTCACTAACTCCCTCCTGCTCTCACACACAGATGTGCTTTTTTTGGCTTTCTACCTCACTGCTGTTTGAAAGGAAGGTGGAAGATAAGCCTGTCTGAACTGACATGCCAGGGGTTTCTGTAGGTCTGGCCCTGAGCAGTTTCCTGGGAAGCTAGAAGCAAATACAGCCAATCAAGCAATATGTCAATGTCCATCCCACTGTGGGGAAAAGTTGCACTCATAAATACAGAGTGAGCAAGGGACAGCAGAAGATGCTGACTGTCAAGGAGGCAGCCACTCAACAAAACACATCACCATCACACGCACATGTGAAATTCTTTTTTATTCACTTTCCTGTGATGAGTGATGCTGGGGTTTATCATCAGAATGAAGAAAGTTGATGTATCCTTATGAATACACAGATACACCCCACAGGTGTAATTGTCAATATTCTTCACCAAGCAGTGCAAAGAAACTATTTTCTTTACCACCACAGTATCACAGGTAGCAGTGCTGAGTTGGACCAAGGAATTGCTGACATGTCTGGAGCCAGACACTGGAGGCAAGAGTGACTTCAGGAAAGCAAGCATGTCGTGCAGAGCAGCAAACACAGAACTGCCTTCAAACCATGACTGCCCAAAGCAAAACCACTCCTTGGGAGAGGGTAGAAAACAAAGAGTCTCTTGTAGCTGGTATTCCTCTTGTTTCGTGATATGAAGGACATATTTATACCACATTTGAGAAGAGGTTAAAAAAAGACCACAAAGTGGCTAGAAAACTTTTAAAGTAGCACATGTCCTAATGCTCTTAGACTACCTAAAACAACACTAAAAGGACTTCAGGATGAGCAACAACATACTAACTGACAAAACCACACTGTTCTTAAATGAATAAATATATTTCTGTATGTATCCTTCTGTGTGTTAAATTTCCCACTTTAAACTATATAACCAGAAGGAGAAAAACTCTGCAGCAATTGTAATAGTTTTGTGGCAAAGATGGATTCAATATAATTTTTTATGTGTTTCTAGTAAAAAGCAGTAGTTTTACCTCTTGATATTAAGTAATGCCCAAGGTATCCCAGTGGGAGTGTTGAAAGCAGGTAGCAATTTCTCTCCAAGCTCCACTGCCTTTTTTCGGAAAACCTGAAAGTTAAGAAGAAACCAAGTGTTGGAAAATGCATTGTTGTTCCAACTCAATTAATTTAGCTAATATCATTATTGAGCATATGGCACAATCCATCTCAGCACAACGAAGCATCCCTGCTCCTTTAGCGTGACGTCAAAGGAACGAAGCAGCACAGTCTGTTTCCATTGCACCTGGTGAGGAGAGAACTCACACAGCAGGAACACACAGTGACAATGCCCAGATGACCTGCTCCTGGCACCACCAGCATCGAGCCAGAGGCACCAGCACAGCCAGACCTGACACTGCAGAGCAGGTCATGCACTCCTGGCTGCCCCTGCCAGGCACCCTGTGCTCAGGGAAGGGGCTGTGAGCCAAGGATGCTGCTGCACCCTGGCTGGCTGGCCAGCAGCTCCCTGCCCCAAGTGCCATGTCCTCCTGGAGCATGGGGATGCAGCTGCTGCAAGGGCACCTTTGCTCTCTGTCAGGTTTATTCACAGGGCTCAGCATGCTGTGGGAGCCTGGGCTGCATCTCCATGTGGCTTCTGTGCTGCTAACCTTGCAGTCTATGGCAAAAACATCCCCCCCACATCACCAAAAAAATAAACCTCACACATTTTGCAGTGCTCCAGTCTTTATGGACTCAGCTGCCTGATACCCAGAGTGTCAGTGCCACAATTAATCAAAAAATTGGAATATACTCCTGCGGCCAATGAGACTTAACTGATATGCAGCATCCAAAGAGTTTCAGCTTCCATTTCAAAAACATGAAGCAGAAAAACCCCAAATGCTTACCATATGCCCACAAGAATGACAGACAATTTAATAAGAGGAACTTTTGTGTCCAGGTAAAAGGTTAAAAAGCTGGAACAAAGAGGATTTTGCTTTCCTTCAACTGCCAGCTCAGCTCAGGTTACATTAACCTTACTGTTTGTGCACTGAGCGCTCTACTAAGAGAGTTTTTAATTAGAAACAATATTGTTCCAACTTAAATATAGAAACCTATTTAGTGATTTCAATATGTGGATGTTCAAGGCCTATCTGCTCAGAATTACACTGGGATCTTGTGCAACACTGAAAGGGATTATCCCAGGTGTAGTAGTCAAAATAGCAAAGTCACCTTCATTGTTCTCTCTTTCTAATAATGGTTCCTTTCAACTTGTTTTTTCTCCTCAGACATATTTATGATGGATTTATATTTATTTATGTATTAGGAATCAGCTTGTACATCTGATGCATCTTGTGATGCAGCCATGCATATATGTTGATGCGAATATAAAAAGCCGTTTGCTGGGCAAAACAAGGTAATGAAGAAATTTCTTTCCACAAAAATAAAATATAACTTGTAAAACACCACCTTCTAAAAGCCACATTGAAAAAAGGATTTTATTATTGAAAAAAATATGTGATCAGGAGTGAATATAAAACTCTGGAACAATCATGTTGCTATAAAGAAGCTCCAGACTATCCCATCCCACGCTCTCTCCATATGATACAGATCTCAAGATTTCTCTGGCAACAGTTCAAGATTTAGAATTACAGTAAAAGATATTTTGAGGGAGATTAACTAATTTCAAGCCAAATTATGTCTGGAGTCAGAAAACTTTCCTGAGTGGATTGCATCAGAGTGCTGGGAGAAACCTGAAGCAAAGCAGCAGGGAAAACAATTTGCTCGGAAATCCCTTCACAATCCATGATATTTCTGACTTCCCAGTTTACCAATTATGTGGATTCTGATGAGAATTAGTTATGGATTTGTGATCTTTATCCAGCACATAATTCAGTCTTCCCAAGGCTTAAAGCCTTGGTGAACACTCAGAACCAGTTGGTGCAGAACATAATCACCTCTTAGCAGATTTCCTCGGGAGGAGCCAGGGACAGTCACCCACCTGGAGTGCACAAGCTTTCCCTCATTTCACAGCCACATTTTTCACCTTGGTCTGCTGAAACCAAACCTATCCTTTGCTCTTATAGCACAAGAGAGGCCTCCCTCAGCCTTTCACAGCATATGGCATGATCAACTCACCAGCCTCTCTGCCCTGAAACATTGAAGTACTGACAGGAGAGTGGCTGCAGTCATTCTCCTAAGCCATGGGCACACCAGGACCCTGGTATTCTGTAGAAGCATCTGCTGCACAGCATGAACCCCCTACCTTTAGCCATGCATAAAGGGGCTAGATAGGTATCATATGGAATGCTGTCAAAGGTGCCACATGTATTCTTTTTAGCTGTTTATGTAAGGACAAGAGGAGATCTCCCCTTCAAAAAACATATACTTAACCACTGGAGAGGCAGCAAGGCTCAGTACCTGCTGTACCTTGCAGGCTGTATCAATCCTTCATCAAAAATATTACATGTGAGCTCAGAATGGGATCTTTTACAATAATTGCTTCTGGACAAAAATGTGATATTTTAGCATCTTAATTTGATGTAGAGCAATAATGCTTCACATTGAAGTATTTCTACCAACTCTAACATCTTTTTAAAATTCTACTGTATTTATTTTATACATAAACAACATAAATTCTCTCAAAATAAAAATTGCCTACTTTATGGAAATGTCACAAACAATGGCTATTAAAAAATAAACATATGAGATACAAAGCATTAAGTATTGTTCCACGTATGGATATGGAAGGGAAAACGTAATTCAGTCCTGTCAAAGCTAGTGTCCTGAACACCAACATTAGAATACACAGTGAAGCCAGGCATTCTAACTTCTTTCTTGTCCAAAATGCACCTCTTCCAATGCACTAAACAGTTTTCATAGTAGGCAATTAGGAAAATAGAAGTTTAAAATATTTTTAAACCATTGCACAATTTTGAAACAAGTGCTGACATGAAGATGCACTTCTTGTTTACATGAGAATTTCAACAGGTTATTACTAAAGCATGCTGGTGATTTTCCTTCTCCTTCCAAAGTTAAAAATAAAAATCAACTATGGACATTGTCTACTTTTATCTCTAGGTCTTATTTAACATGGCTGAGCAACTGACAGGTAAATCACTATCTATGAAGAAGAATGGCATAGACAGTAATGACAAGACTATAACAACACTGAATGACTGAGCACAATAAATTGTAGCCTCCTGCAGTAAAATTATTTTCTTTCAGCTAGGATAAAAGGGTGAAGATAAATAAAGGAACCCCTTTATTTTTCAATTTGCAACTTTAAAAGTTAATAATAAAAATAATAGGAAAAGCAGGTGCTGCAATTATTGCACATCATCCACAATGTTCACTGTATTTTTTTTCTGCAGAAACCTACAGCACTGGAAAAGAAATAAATATTGTGCTGGGTAAGATTTTTTTTTTCTTGGTAATACAAGTAAATAAACAATAGCAGCTTCTACTTATTATCTCTGCTTCTGAATTGAATTTCAACTTTTGCCAAGCCCTGATCCTTCCCCACTACCACCAGTAAAGTGATTGTTTGGTAAGCACAAACGATGACAGCCATTACAAGAAGCACAAAACAAAGGCAGAAATGACAGAGCACAAAAATCAGAGACATTATATATAATAAAGGAAAACATCCAGGACAAAATTTCCCAACCCAGTGGTTATCTTTAGAGCCTCAAGGAATTTTCCTGGCTTTTCCTCATGAATGCTCATTCAGCAGTAATGAAAGGTTACTTACATGAAGTACTCCAACTAGGTCAGACCTGGGAGAAGCTGTCACAGTCCCATACCTGAACCCACCACTCCATGCTTAGTTTAAATATTTATCTACAAATACAAAAGTCTACAAAGCACTCCTGAGGCCTCTATCACTTTCTCCAATGCTTTATCATATCTAGACAGCATACTTTTTAAAGGAGGACTGTGGAGTTGCTTCCTTAGCATATTGGCATTCCCTTTACCAGGTGGTGCACAGAATAAGCCACACTGCCATCAATCCCTTCTTTTAAATTGAGGATTCAAAGCAAAGTACTATGATTACCTTTAAAGAGCAATGAAGCCCCTCAAAATTGCACTGGTATTTGACTCAGCTAAACACCATACTACATCAAAAAAATTATTCTAAGTGAAGCACTGTGATTCAGGAAAGAAAATGATAATTGAAACCAGTCACAAATACACGATCAGTATTTAAAAGTATAAGGTTGGGCAGGATACAAAATGCTTTCTCAATCATTTCTCTTTAATCTAATTTTTGCCAGTAGTCAGACTTTGGATGTGAGATAATTCTCTTTTTGAACTCTAAGGTGTTACTAACATTTTTTAAAAGTATAATGCTGATTCATACTGTGTGAAGGTCCTGTGTAAGATGGACTCCTCCACTAAACAAGTAGAGATTCCTTCACACTCTTCAGTCCTACTTAAAATCAGCACTAAAGCAAATTAGATACTTACTATAATCATACAATAGTTTAGGCAGAAGACAGAGTTACTATACTTTCTATTTGAATCTCTGTTTATGTTAGTAAGTTGTGAATAATTACAAACACAAAAGTCACATTGGACCACCACCATTACTCCAAGCCAGCAATTCTTTGAAGAACATTTGGGTAAGCACTGGTAGGTAAACAAGAAATCCACCTTACAGCTGCACACACTCATCTTTCCTATTAAGGTCTATTCATTCCATAGGCAACACACACGCCAAGCCAGGGAACAAGACATTATTTTCTCACTCATTAGATAGCTTTAAATATTTCTTAAATGCATATAAGCGTTTTTGGTCTTCATAAGAGAGAACAAACTAACTAACTAAGAGATCATACATCCAGAACTGTGATGCTAATGTTAGAACACCCAATGTCACAATCAATCAGATCTTGCAGACTCTTCCGTCCATTAACAAATCTTATTAGGGAAAAGAGTGTTCCCACAGAGGAACAAGGCTCTGCCTGCAAAGATGCAACCACAGGGCAAAGACCAGACCTGTCATCTTGTGAGCACTGGCTTTCATTATACTGCAAGAATGTTATCTCCTCTGGATAAACAAAAATGTTTCCTCTGGCTGGAATGACAAATCCCTTTGAAAATGTCAGATTACCTCATTGTAGTTTTAAT